ACTTTGGTGAGAGAGCTTCAGACGTAGAGACAAAGAAAGAGAGAGGGCAGCCGGACGAGAGAGACGATCATTACAGTTGCTGGACCAAAGAGACGAAGAGAACCAGGGAGAACAAAGAGAATCAAACGATGAGGGACGTTGAACCATTCCTAAAGTCTCATTGATTCATTGGTGCTGGGGCCTACAAAGTCATTGAGGGACGTTGAACCATTTCAGTGTGATATCTGGCTTTTGTCTTCCCAGCTCATGTCTGTTAATTTCCTTTTTGTGAACAAATCAACTCATCATTTAGCTCATTTGGTAGCTCATCTAACCAATTGTGGGAGTCTTCCTGAGGCCTGGTTTTTGAATCCTCCACTTCAGGTGCTGCAACTAATCCAGACTGATGTTCGTGAGGGCATAGGATAGCTCCAGTTGCTTGTTCTTTTGTTGTAAGTAATTCTTTTGTAAGTATGTTATATGATTGACCAAAAAATAAATTTATTTGTAAATTTTAATATTAAATGGAGCCCCCTTTCAATGCAATGATTATATTGAATTAAATTTTCAAATGAAGCCGAAATAACATTTTTCAAATATCATTAACGCTATTCGAAGAAGCATCAAAGCATATTCAAGGAAGGTTCATGAAACAGGCCGAGGAATAGCATGCGACAACTACAAGTTTGTTGTCAAGATTAGAATACACTGATTTAGGAAAAAGTAGTTATTGCACATTCACACACACTAATTTTTATTTTTTTAATGCTGTTTTCACACACACTAATTCGTCGATCGTCACCATAGTGAATCAGACAAACTTCATGCCATTGAGGTCATCTGATCTATGTCATTTTGGACTATTATAATTATAATGTTTGTATTTAGTTACTTATCGAAAATAAAAAAATATGTTTGCATTTAGTCACTTGCCCACTGTATGTATGTGTGTATGTGTTTTACTTTAATTTTGTTCAGATCATTGAGAATTTTTAAAAATTGGGTCTTTTGCAAATTTTTTTTGACAGTTATTGAAATCAACCCAGGCATTGCTAAATTTCGATGGTCTTAATCTGACATATAATTTTTTTTATATATATATTGTATCAAATCCTATTAATCATACCTTCTGGGAAAAAAAAGTCTTATAAATCAAAAGGGAAAAAACATATTTTAACTTGATGTTTTTAACAAAAAAATCTGATTAGATGGTTAGTTAGTTGTTCTATCTTTGGTCATTCGGTCGGCAACATCATACTCTTTTGTGTTCTTGGTCCATTTGATTTGGTGAAAAAAGTGGAGATAGAAGATAGGGAGATGAAAATAAAATGAAAACATTCCACCACATGCAACTTCTTCATTATTGGGGTCCATAAAATGACTGATTGGTGCCGACATTTATTTTTAGCTTCTAATTGGCTGGACAAATTCACGAAAACTATAAGGTATCTTTAAATACATTTTTTTTCTTAATTTTACTCAATTAAATGTATTGTACGTGAATAAGAGATCCACTTATAAATAGTGTATCTTAATTAAATTTGTCATAGTGAAGTTGAACAAATGTATATATTGTGGAAGAGATTTCCCTCCCACAATTTCTTGAGGAAATCATGGATGGGCTGAAATGAGTGAGAATAGAGAGCTTATTGGAGATACTCTTAGGCCTCTATTCGAGTTTTTCACCAACTCCATGTCTTGAAAAATCTTATTTCCCAAACCATGCAGTTTCAATCTTGTTTCATAAACTTAGATACTTTTAAAAAAATCTGATTCTAAAGGACATCTTTTGGGTAAAAGGTCATTCTAAATGACATCTTTAGACAACACATCCTAACCACACAGATGGTTTTCAAGTAAATCATAAAAACCTCATTTGATACAACGTTTTTCAATCACATTTACCAAAACTACTTCAATTTAAGAAATAAATTTAAAAATGTCCTCATTTGAGAAATAAGAATTCTAGGGTATGTGATTGGAGAAAAAATGGGCGATATCATATTCCAAACACCATGCACTTAAATTATAGATCAAAGCCTCTCTCAACCATCTTTTAAATACAACACAAGTTGGTTTTGAATATAACCGACTTCGCTAAATTTTAAGGATTTGGCATTTAGTTTGTGTCAAGTTTTGTATATTAAAAAGTTTTGGAGAATAAATACCTTGACCAGATATTATTTTGTACCTTCAAATCACCGAGTCAAGGTGGTAGTTATTGATATGATGTTGGTATTTGGGTTTGGATCTGAATCGGGGCGCCCATGGACGGGCACAAGCCGAATAAGATAGTTAGTGAGTTATTTGAACTCAAAAGATAGAAGACTTGCCCTTGGATTAGGAGTTCCCTTTTATCAGGATATGACCAATCCCTTGCTATCTCCTTATGTGAGGAGGTTAGTTTTCTCACATTGAAAACATAGAGAGGTTGGGGTTGATTCCATGAAAAAAAAGGCCTGACAAAAATCTCTCTATTGCTGCCATTGAAAACTAGATAGATTTTAGAATGGTAGAAATCTAAGTGTGGCTCTTGCAGCCTTTGTTGGAAATTAATCTTCGTAGCAATTTGGTTAGTACAAGGACCAGAAAATAAATAAACGGAATAAAAATAAAATAAAATACAACTCATTATACAAAGATTTATGTGGTTTAAAAAAATTATTTTGCCTGCGTCCATGAGACGTGATCCGGTCTCCTTTCTTTATTATTGAGAGAAAATAGGTACAATGATACAAGCCTCACTATTCAGGATTAAATCTAAAACCCAAGTAGGGCCGGCCCTATTCTATAAAAATAAAAGCGTGAGCTTTAGGCTCCTATATGAAAAAGGCCCTAAATTTAAAAATTAATAATGTAATATATGCTAAAAAATAAAATTTACTATAATATAGCCTAACAAAATAATTTTGAAAGAGTAAACCAACAAAAAAATTAAAAATTTGGGCCCCAAAATCCAGACCACCTCACACAATCACATTTATTAAGGGGCAAAAAAATATTAACAAAAAAAAATTATCGACAAAATCCATCTCTTTTTCCAATCGAAAGAAATATAATAAACATCTCTATTTAGTTAAAAAAAAAAAAAAAACCAAATACATTCTCCACTTCTCTTAAATTTGTTTTTTTTTTCTCACTTGAACGCAAAACACCAATTAAACCATTCATTCTCATTAAAAAAATGTTTTGATAAAGTTCTTATTCATAACAAATAAAATATAACAAAAAATTAGGTGAAAGTTGCATAGATAAATAAGTAAAATTCAAAGATAGTAAAATAATTCTAAAGAAAAATAACAATGAATTTATTTATAATAAAATAAATCATCTAATACCACAGTTTCGATAAAGAACAAATAAAACAAATAAAAAGATCAAAAAAATATTAATAAATTAATTAATTTTATTCCTATAAACATTTATGTTCAAAAGTCATTGATCAAAAAAATATATTAGCAAAATTTGAATAAAAAAATAATTAGCAATTTCAAATCTCATCAAAAAGTAAAATATAATGGATTTTAAATTAAAAAATTAAATTATTGTTAAAAAAATCTCATTGGCCATCATTGTTTTAGACACCAAATGTTGTTGAGCCACCCCTGAACCCAAGTTCTGAACTCCTTGTACAACTCACTTAACCTTACCCTCTCAAACTCCCAATAAAGAAAACATCTTGTACTCTCAACAAGAGAATAAAAATTAATCAATACATTTGATTGTCCTACTTGTATCATCCAATAAGATTTTAGTAATGACATCATCTAACAAATTATAATGGAACCCTCATCTCATTCAAGCAATGAAATTGCTCCACTTATACTCCAATAAGTTTTTAGTAATGACATCATTTAACCAATAAAATATATTTTTTTTGGCAATGATGTCATCTTACTAATCAAAACAAAAATTTCAGCCACAACCAACAGCCTCACCTACCCCAAGTTTTTGGTTCATGGTTGTTCATTATCGTCAAATGATGGAATATTGGAACATGTGAAACACTCATGTCAAGATCTTCAGATGTGCAATTGGGTAAAGAATCGGAGAAGGTAACCCACGAACCCCATATCACTTTCACATATAATGTTTGTTTTAATTATCCTTCTTATGATGAAGTCAATACTGGGAGGCCAGAACTTTAAGCCTTTTTAAACCCCACGTGTGAAACACACAAGAAAAAAGGTAATGAGTTTCACATAGAAAAACCAAATAAACTACAATGAGTTGATATAAAAATTGGAGAGTTAGGAGGAAAGGAGAGCAATCTCATTGAATGCCATACAAACTAACTTGAGTTCCTACACAATGGGTGGACCAACTATTGAACTTGAGGATAAATTTTCGAGCCAAATTCCAAACCAATCATATATGAAACCAGATTCTATCAATTATGAGCTAATTCTACAAGATAATGAACTTTCGCTTTGTTTCCCTATGCAATTTTTTCCTTCCTTTTTTCTTGACTAAACAGCCAAACTGTCAAAGAAAATTCAGTTCCGAACTCGAAATCACTTCCGCATATAAGGTTATTATAATTATCCATCACATGATGATGCCAATACGTGTGAATGCACACACACACACACACAAAAGGGTACTGATCAATTCCATGTAGACAAACCAAATAAACTAGAATGAGTTGACGTTAACATGGCAATCCAAAGGGATTAATATTGTCAGGTGCATGCAAAGTGAAGCCTGTGTATTAGCAATCATGATATTGTGGAGTATAAAGATAGTAAATTTATGCGGGTAATGTTAAAAGTTAGGTCAATATCCAATCCACCCCTTCAAAATTTGTTGATTTACGGAACAAGATAACCAAGCAATAATTCACTTAATAATTTATTTTCAAGTACATTGGAAAGTCACAGACACAGAGAAAACAACTTCGTTTGTGCGAGCCCACAAGCATTAGACTCATCACTTTTATAGAAACCAATATTAAACTCACTTCCACACAATTTAGCTTACAAAATGGATTGAACAATATTACAAACAAACCTTTTTGATGATCACAACTTCTTTTTAGTCATTGCAACAGTGACATTGATGAACTCAGTTCTCTCTTTGGACATTTTATCAGCCAAAATCTTCCTATACCTGCAGAACACCTCGTCAATTATTGCTACGCCAAAGTGACTGAGAAGCAAGGGTTCAGCCACAGCTCTCATGCACTGTGCAACATTGTATCCACCATCCTTGAAGGCATTTGATGGACAAAATTCATTGTCGTAAGCATTCCAGTGAACTTTAGAAATCTCGAGGCGGTCAATCCCAAAAGATCCTTCTATTTCGACCTCCGATTTTATTTCTGCTGGAGACGGTGTGTACTGGGGGATGTTGAATGAATCTAGTTTCTTCTCTTCTATAAGGCCCTGCATTGATGTTAACATAAGTAAAAGGTGCATGACTTTATGCATCTCAAGTTGAAATTGTCTAGTTATCTTGATCTAACCATGTTTTTTTAATGAAAGACAAAAACATCCTACCCTAAGTGTGAAATGTGTACTTCCTTAATCTCTTGGGTTGTGACAATGTTATGCTTACTAGATAGTTTTCATCATTAAAACCATTTTTGGATGAAAAAAAAATTGTTTTCGACCATTTCATATGCCTATCAATTTTTTTGTAGCTTTTGAACGGTAAAAAGTTTTTGCATAAAAGTTTCGCAACTTTTGGGCCCAAAATTGGTGTCATTTAATTTCATGCAAGTCCGATTGGGATTTGCATACAACCAATTTCAAGTTTTTTTTTTCTTTTTGAATTTCTCTCAAGTTCAATTATTCACCATGATGAGTCAACCATCCACCGTTTAAATTCATTGGATCTTATCGAATGTCAATAAGACCTATAAAAATACAATAGGGAGACATAATTTGTATAATAAATGAATAAGTAAACTCCACTAAAATTGATAAACTTCAAAATTGTGAGGATTTGAACCCATTTTATATCAAAAAAAGAAGGAAAACAAATTGGGTTTTTAGTGAAAGATTAGTATACCTCTGAAACCATTTCATTGAGAACCATAGCTAGAAGCTCCCAAATGTAACAACACTCTTTGCTAGAAGGATCTTCACTTTTCCTCCCAAGAATAGTTAGAACCATTCGGCCTCCGGTGACTAGTTCCTCCGAACGACACTTTAGGAACAACGAGAAATCTCTTCGAAATTGCTCATAGTATGCTTGTAGCACGCTTGGCGGGCTTGTACTTGCCATGTAAATGTTGCTTTTGTTATTCTCTATCCCTTCAGGAACCTAGTAAATCAAGAAACTTGCAATTATATTTATCCGGACACACGTATAATATTATTTATTTTGGGTTAGACTTGCACAATTTTAGAACAATATCTAATTTGAGATTTGTAGTCTACCCTTAAGTCCAACCATACTCATTTGTGACCCGCTCCAACCAAGGTGACATTAGATTTTGGATGATAACTCTTATTATGCTAGCTGCACCAATGACCTAGTTGGACCGGGATGCATCAAGCAATGCACAGACTATGTGGCATCCAGACCACGAGAGTCGGTGACTGATATTATTTTTTTAATGTTGTGATCCTTGTTGTACGATAATATTATCCGCTTTGAACTAGACCTATCGGCTTAAAATGCCTGACACAATAAATATGCTAAAAAGTAGAGAAAAAAACACAAAGTAAAATGTTTTCTTTTTCAATTACCTGGGACAGCCATTGAAGACTATAAGAAGAATGGACGAAATGCAGACTTTTTGTAGCAAAAAGCCTACCATAAAATGAACCAGGGACTCCAGAGAAAAAACAAGGTCCATATCCGGATCCCATCTGTTCTGTCAGTTTTCCTTGGAACCTCGGCAAAGACCGAAAAATCGTGTTAAAATCATTCCCGGGAAGGTCATTTAAGAATATTTGAAACTCTGGTGAGTGGTTTCCCATTTTTCGGCATAGTTTGTCAACTGCTTTGATGAGCTCAGAGACCACTAGCAAAGTGTTTGGACCAGAGGAACAACCCAAGTCTGCAATGGACAAGGATTTAGGGAAAGTACTGCAGTAGAGATCAATAATGGCTTCTTTTGTTATCGGCTCGGTAATAGATAACACCTTTTGCTGTACACGAGACACAATTAATTAACAAAATTAATCTTCGAAATCAAATGTCAATCTCACAAGCATTGTTATATTAATCAAATCATTTACCAAATTTTATATAGCAGGTTGTGGCTTTAAATGATAGCAATACAACCCAGTTAGTTAATAACTTTAAATTTTAGGGATTTTTCTTGTATGTTTATTACCATTTTGAAAATTCATAGAGGGACCCAATTTGTTATATTTACTTAAATATTTGTTAATAAGGTATCAAAATATTTTCGGATATCATATAATTTCTTAGAGCCACATTATTTTCTGTGGTATTAATTAAACGACTTTTTTGGAGTTTGATGAACTAAGTCCGAGAATGTAGAAAACTGACTGACAAGTGAAAATGACCTATTCCTTTTTCAAAAGTAATACACGAGGAAAAGTGACATAGTTGTCAAAAGGGACATTTAATAAAATATTATCGTCAAATTGGTAGGGAATCTACCGCCAATCAATGGACCATATCTATAATATCCTGCAAATGTGAAATTCTGGATGAAAAAAATTAGGTCTACTAAACGTGTCAATTGAGACCACTTTGTGGAGTGATTTCGTGTCAAAAAATATTTTATTTATACCCGATTCATTTATATACTCATGTCTTATTCATTTATTAATCGTGTCGCGTAGGGTCTACTCATTTACGAAATGAGCGACTTAAGAAAAATTCAAATCCTCTAATTTAATATCGAATCTGTATCGTGTTATATTTTGACACCCCTAAAAAAACAATTGTGTGCTTTGCCCGGAGTATGTAGTAAGCACAAATGTATTAATCTAACAATTATAATGAATTATATAAATAATTTAGATCCTAATAATAAGGCAAAATAAGTTTATTTTTTTCTGTTACCAATCTCAATTCTGCAGGTAATAACGGTTGTGTACTTTGCGTTAGATCTGGAAGAAGCACAGATACATTACATGGAATTGAATGGACATGCATACCTGAACTAATGAGTTGTTTGCATAACTTGCATCTCCAATTCCTCCATTCATGTGTAGAACTTCAATCACTTCCATCTCTCTCTCTCTCTCTCTCTCTCTCTCTGACTGACACACACACACTCCCTCCCACCCTCTCTCTTACTTTGATGGGGGTGTTTAAGGGGGGTCTCCGTATTTATAGAGACACCCACATCTCTCACGAAGAGGGTGGTGATTATTTTGGTTTCTTTTAATAATTCCCTTTCAATTATTATGTTGTCAACATCATGAAGTCGTCTATAAGTAACATTTACCTTGGAAACGGAAGGCCCACTCCATTCCCATTATTCCACTAAGTTACCTATAATGTATGAAAACACATTTTGGCAACACTCAGTACTCTTTTCAATTAGCACACAAGTGCCCAACTTAGCTATTTTTATCTTTCGAATTGAAGCTTGCATTACTTTAAAATATACTGTCTAGTGAAAATTTAAAACTCAAACTTATAAAACGACTCACACACATCACCAAGCGACGTAAAATTTGATAATCACATACTTGCTTCTCATGGATATATTTAATACGGTACAATAATGAGTATATAGACAAATTTAAATTACTTGGTGGCTATTTTTATCTTTAGAATGACTGCGTGCTTAGTCACCATGACACTTGGAAGAAATTTCACTTTAGTTTTGTTTATCATTGAATTTCTTGGATCCGAATTTATTGGATTTCTAGATTTGTTAAATTTAAATTCCATAGATGTTCCTCGTAGGTTCGACTGACAGTCAATTGAACCGAATTTGTGGTGCAAAAGGAATGAATTGAGTTGAGCACTAGGTTATTCTGGTGTGGTTTGTTCATTTACAATGAAAAAATTATTATCGGCGTTGAAGAGTGAGGAGTCTTAGACATGTAGTTTAAGCTTGACTCAATTAATTTTTTTCTCTCAAAACCCAAGTTCAAATCGATTCGACTTGCCTCACCTTGATAAAACGAAGCTATATATTTTAATCCTTTACTCATAAACTCCAATTCTAATTTATGTTTATGATCAAGCTCCTCCTGTTTAGGTATATATGTGTGTGTCTATCTATATAACATCTTCACGACGAATTTAAACGAATCGAACCAGTTATTTCTTTGGTTTAACTTGCATATTAAACTAAATAACTAACTCCAAATATCTTTCTTTGAGCATTAGAGCTTATTTTTTATATGCTATTACATACATATCCATGTTGTGGACGCAAACTAAAACTAGTACTCAATTGTCCTTTATCCTAAATTTAACCATGCATTAATGTACTTCCATGCATATTGTGTGTGTGTTCTCTTTTACTCATTTATATCATTAGCAATATTCCTTTCTTTTTTATTTTTAGTTTAACGTTTAAAGATGTTCACATCAGTTTACACACAATTCGATTAATCTCTTTTTTAGTCTAATCAAAAGTAAATTATCTATGCAGGGATTAAGATATTAATGAAAGATAAATCTCTTATTGTCTAATCTAAACAAATTATTAAAATTTAAATTCAAGACATCTTTCCTTACAACTCGCATATGCTAAATCTTGAAATTGGATGGTCTTTGGCACAATAAAAGAAGGTGCATGAAACACGATGATGATTAGCATGCGACAAGTGGAGGGTTGTTGGCCATATAAGAATACACTGACTTTGGAAAAGGTGGGGCCGAGGACTTAGGCTTCATGGCGGTGACATCATTTTTTACGTACACTAATTCGTCACCGTATTGGAATCATACAAACTTCATGCCATTGAGGTCATCCGATGATCTATGTATTTTTTACTAGTATAATGTTTGCTTTCAGCAGGGGCGGACGGAGCGTGGGCTCCACCCACTGAAATGTTGAAAATTTAATAAATAATCGGATTCTATTCAAAGTCGAGTTTTCAAATTGAATTTGAATTCGAATCTCTTAAAACAGAATTTTCAAAGTTAAAATTGCACAAAGCCAGCCCAGATAGTTTTACGCTTTACGTATCCCTAGATAATGGAGTGCTGATAATTCTATCATTTAGCAGTATTTGGAGAAGCATCACAGCAAATTTAAAGAAGGGTGCGTTGACGTCATCCAAAGTAGAAAACATTGATGTTGGAAAAAAATAGAACGTACACTTTATTTCTGCGAAATCATTTTTCGCGCACACTAATTCGTCACCATATTGAATCATACAAACCTCATGCCATTGAGGTCATCTGATCTATGTCATTTTTTTACTATTATAATGTTTGGATTTAGTTACTTATCGGAGAAAAAAAAAAATGTGTTTGCGTGTAGTTATTTGTCTAGGGTGTATATTTGTGTCTGTCTTTTACTTCAATTTTGTTTAACTCATTGATAATTTTTTAAAACTGAATCTTTTACAATTTTTTGAGAGTCTTTGAAATCAACCCGCCATGGCTAAATTTCGATGACCTTTGTCTGACATATAGTTTTATGTATATATGCTGCATCAATCAAGTACTATAAATCACAAGAAATAAATGATATTTTAACTGATGTTTTTAACCAAAATCTGAGTAGATGGTTGGTTAAATGTCCTATCTTGGTCCAATTGATTTGATGAAAAATTGGAGATAGATATAGGGAGAAGAAACAAAATGAAAACTTTGAGCCACACAAGTCCATGCAACTTCTTCATTAGTGGGGTTCAGAAAATGAATGATAAATGCCGACATTTATATATGGAAAAACAGTTGTGTACTTCGCTTGGAGTTTGTAATAAGTACAAATGTATTAATTCAATTAGTACAATAAATTAGATCTTAAAATCAAACAATTTTACTTTTTCTATCTTTGCAATTGTATAATTTGCTTGAGATCTGAAATCGTGGACTAACTACAAATATCTTTCTTTGAGCATTAGAAAGATATTTACATACATATTGTTGCCGTCCACGCAAACTAAAACTGCCTACTCAATTGTCGTTTTCCCTAAATTTAACCATGCATCAATGTACTTCCAGTGTGTGAGTGTGTGGGCGTGCTCTTTTTCACACCACATGATGAATGCTCTTTTTCACACTACATGATCAATGTTTGTAGTACAACGTTATAATCCTCAGACTTCCCTAGATCTTTTGTTTTTAAAATGAAAGCAAAATTTGAAATCAAAAGGTGAGCAAGACGGTGCTAAGGGGTCCATTTATGAGTGTTCATCATACAACTGTTTGAAAATTCAACTCTGATAAAGCTTATGTAACCTATGCCCAAAATGTTTGTGGTTTAAAACCCTCCATCACTGCTTTTGGCGGTAGCTAAAGTGTGGTTCGTTTTGTTTTGTTCTTTTCTTCCTATTTTGGTGCATGATGTTATATATAGCTAAAGTATGCATATATAGTTCGTAACTATTACAGATGAGTTATAGACCGTATATATAGTTCGTAACTATTATAGATGAGTTATAGGCTGTTCTTTTCTTGAAATAGGATTAGTTTGACAATGAAATTAACTTTAGTCATAGGTAAGA